GTTGAATAGTTGAAGTCCCCCAGTAAAACAGCGGTATATCTGCGGACTTATACTGCTAGAAACCGAGTTTCGATACCCGTGGTGGGCAGAGCACAGATAGCCCATTGTGTAGCTTTGTGCTTAACTTCAAACAAACAAACATTACAGGGATACTTTCGTTCGCACCAGGACTTTTTGTATTCTAGGTTCTATACTTCCGGCATCAAATTTGTTAACATGTGACGTTATAGAGAAAGTCGATTTGTGTCTTCAAGAGGGAGAAGGACTGTCTACTTATTTACTAGTATATAATATGTTAAAAATGAAACAACAGTAACGTATACACGAATATTCTGAAGTAATGAGAAATATTAGTTTTCCATTCATTAATTAATTTATATATATTATATAATATTATCACGAGTTGTTTCAAAAAACCTCATTATCAACACATATTTTAACCTTTGCTGACAGAATCGGGTATATTCTCAATATCAGGCTCTTATTACATGCACACTACGTAAGGCTGAAAAAGAAATGTTATCCCAAATATTAATATTACAAAAAATACACACGCAAAAAACTTGTTTCCAATCAGCAAGTCTCAAAGCTCGTTTTCTCTTCTCTCAAACCTTGTGAAAGAACAAAGACATACGCCCTATAACGAGTAGTTTTGCAGACAGTAAAATGTACAAAATAAAAATACCAATTTATTAAGTTCTTGCACCCAAGAACGATTACCGTTTTTCTTAACATTGTTATAATTCCAAAAGCAGGATTTTCGTGAATATGTAATCATTCTAAAAGTATTCATTGATTCATAAGAAAGGTACTTTTTCACTTTATTTCTATAGAAAAAAAATATTTCACTTGTACACATTTGACGTACTGAAGTCTAACTATAATGTTGATCGTTTGGTCTATAACTATATTTTTACTACATGTTTGTTTACAGTTTCGGTTTGTTATGAATTTCGCGCAAAGCTACACGAGGGCTATCTGCGCTAGCCGTCCCTAATTTAACAGTGTAAGACTAGATGGAAGGCAGCTAGTCATTACCACCCACCGCCAAGTCTTGGGCTACTCTTTTACCAACAAATAGTGGGATTGATCGTAACATTATAAGTTTTCTGTGGTAACTGAGATTTTTTATTGTTGTTGTCTGGTGTTATAAACAGTAGATTTCAAGGCGGAAACAAGCCGAAAGTAATGTCACAACCGGCTGCGCACGGTCTGGTCACTAGAGTGGTTAGCGTGCCCGGACCGTGAATCTGAGGGTTCTTACTTCCCGGCCCTTTGCCACAAAAACGCGCTCCGCACTTGGGGGACCATGTGTGAGTTTTAAAAGTGATGGTAAAATTACACTGTTCGACCAGGAAAGGGTAGTTCAAAACGTGGCAGTGGAGACTGTTGCTAGCCGCATCCTTCTAGTTTATCAGTTCACAACTAGGGAAGGCTATGTATAAGTAGATAGGTAAAATTCTGAAAAAACAACAACATGAACAATAAAAGAAACAAACAAATTTTTACAACTGTATTGAAACAAAGAAAATATCGACAATGCAGTAATAGGTTATTATATTAAATCAACCATTGCTTTTTATTTTAAAGTTTGTAGCACACTATAGGGTGCCACTTTTTCAAGAAATTAAACAACCAATAATCTCAGAAACCCTGATTATTTTATTTACAGTACAGTTTTCACAACTATCAAGGACACTTTACTACATATACAGTGAAAAATGTTGTACTAAACTTTCCTGGTGTTAGCGTTCGTTTATTTTCGCATAAAATCAGCCAACTTCTGTAATCAATCACCAATAATACGTTACTGTATAAATATCGTGCGATAGATGGCAGACAGTGTCACTCATTTTACTTTTTTTTTTTTTATAAGCTAGTGTTACACTTCTTGATCTGAAGGCACAACGTCTTTTTTGTTGTTAGAATCTCTGTCATCGAATCAGCTGGGCTGGTGATATTTGCTCAACAAAGCCAAATCTTACAAGTTAGCTTCCCGAGCGTAGGGTATTACGTTTCTTATTTACTTACAGTGTTTAAATAAATCAGAAAACATAAGGCAACCAACAGTTCACACACAGCTCAGACAAAGTAAGGTATAGTGCAGAACGAAAATTAGCAAAATAATTTACAAATTTTACTATTAGTATCTGTTCAGAATAGTCTTTTTTTTTAAAAGTCACATTACTCGATTAACCCAAGCACTCCAGCAACTCTATTAGTCACTTATCATCACCTATCAGAACTTATACTCTTTATTTATAACTGAAACTCATTTGGTTTTGACTTCCTTATCTGGTTTGTTACGAATTTCGCGCAAAGCTACACGAGGGCTATCTGTGCTAGCCGTCCCTAATTTAGCAGTGTAAGACTAGAGGGAAGGTAGCTAGTCATCACCACCCACCGCTAACTCTTGGGCTACTCTTTTACCAACGAATAGTGGGGTTGACCGTATCATTATAACGCATCCACGGCTGAAAGGGCGAGCATGTTTGGTGTGACGGGGATTCGAACCCACGACCCACAGATTGCGAGTCGAGTTCCCTAATCACCTGACCATGCCGGGCCCAACTTCTTTGTTGAACAAAACATTTAGGTTGACACATTTATTCATGGTTAGAGGTCTTACTTAAATATTTGGCTAAATATAGTCCTGTTGTTTTAGGGTATTAATATCTAACACTACATACCTATACATACCAATACGATGTAGCTTTAAAATTCGTACGACAGAAACAATCTATCCACGAACTTGTCTGGATCGGTATTTTGGTCGTTGTGCGCGACCTAGGAGGGTCAGGTTCTATTCAGACCTCTTCCTACCTCCTTTAATATGTATATCGAACCGCAAAAATGCTATAGTTATTCACGAAATCAGGGCGTGAACACTAATGTAGATACATCGAGTTGAAAGACTGATTTTACTTCCCGTTTCAGGGCCACATCCATGATAGAATGCTTATAACATTTAGTGCAATTTCACTATTTCTCTTCATTTGGTCGTGTACACTCACAAACAGTTCCGTAGTAAAAAAAAGTCACTTTTTTTACTTGAAATAGTTATCAATCACGTATTTCACACATAATACCCTTTTAAATATACTGGTGATACCTTAATCTAAGCGATATTTTAAGGCCTAGTGCAGGTGGATTTTTTTTTATTAGAGTAAAAGTTGAGTGGAGAGATACATAGGACTACTATCATCATGTATGATATAGCGATCTATTACGGTTAGTAGTCGTTTTTATATAGATTTTTATCAAAATATTGGAATGAGCAATATACGAGACTGTTTTGGATTGGTTTAATGTATATGTATATATCCACGAGTAAACAAATAAGATGTAACTTTAAAATTTGTACGACAGAAACAATCTATCTTCGAGTATACATATACGGAAGAGCTTAAAATTAGGCACGACAGAAACATATCCATCCATGTGTTTCTAACAAGGGTTAACTTAAAGTTAGGTACACAAGATACGTATCTATTCGCGGGTAAGAAACATGGGGTTGCTTGTTATCAGGTACGACAAAAATATATCTATCCATTGTTAACCAAATTCTGGGTAACTTAAGAATACATGGGCAAAAATATTTATATCCATGGATAATACAATACAGGATAGCTTGTAATAGGTTTATTTTAGAATAATTGCGGAAAACTACTTAATGGCTATCTGTCCCTAATTTTGATGTTACAGACTAGAGCGAAGGCAGCTAGTCAACAGCACGGACCGTCAGCTCTTTCGTTAGAACTGTCTGGCCGAATAGTGGGACGTGACCGTTACCTTTATAACGCATCCACGGCCTCAAAGTGCAGAACACAATTATGTATATATATATATTTCGTTTTACAGCAACAGGACGCGAACGTTCGACTCACAGATCTACAGTACAGAACGCTAACCACTGGGCCACGCTTGGCCACAACAGCTTAAACAAACGTATAAAAGAAATGCATCAATCCGCAGGTAACTCTATACAACAGAAAAGTTTCTGTTTTTAAATTAACACGACGCACAAAGGTAATAACAAAGAGATAGGACGAAAGTATAATACTGTTAACTAGTAAAACAAAGAGATAATGCTACAATCGTATACTGTTAACTAGTAAAACAAAGAGATAATGCTACAGTCGTATACTGTTAACTAGTAAAACAAAGAGATAATGCTACAATCGTATACTGTTAACTAGTAAAACAAAGAGATAATGCTACAGTCGTATACTGTTAACTAGTAAAACAAAGAGATAATGCTACAGTCGTATACTGTTAACTAGTAAAGCAAAGAGACAATACTACAGTTGAATACTGTTAACTAGTAAAACAAAGAAATAATACTAAAGTATAATACTGTTAATTAGTAAAACAGAGATAATACCAAAGTATATTATTGTTAACTAGTAAAATAAAGAAATTATACTACAGTCGAATACTGTTAACTAATAAAACAAAGAAATAATCCAAAGTATAATACTGTTAATTAGTAAAACAGAGATAATACCAAAGTATAATATTGTTAACTAGTAAAACAAAGAAACAATAGCAAAGTATAATACTGTTAATTAGTAAAACAGAGATAATACCAAAGTACAACCCTGTTAATTAGTAAAACAGAGATAATACCAAAGTATAATATTGTTAACTAGTAAAACAAAGAAACAATAGCAAAGTATAATACTGTTAACTAGTAAAACAAAGAAACAATACCAAAGTATAATACTGTTAACTAGTAAAACAAAGAAACAATACCAAAGTATAATACTGTTAACTAGTAAAACAAAGAGATAATACTACAGTCGAATACTGTTAATTAGTAAAACAAAAAACAATACCAAAGTATAATACTGTTAACTAGTAAAACAAAGGGATAATACTACAGTCGAATACTGTTAACTAGTAAAACAAAGAGATAATATCTAAGTATAATTATTCTGATTTTAAAAAACGTTTCATAAAATTGATAAAAATTATATTTCGTAACTTTATCTAATTTCACACCATAACAGTTGGTAATATAGTGTCTCAACCACTGTTTGTCATATCCTAGCTGGCTTGATGAGCCCTAGTATTGGGCAAAAGGCCTCGTCAACGCTTGATATGTCAGATATAGTGGGGGTTGACATATTGTTATACACTCTTCTTTACTCTCGCCCACAAGTTCTTGGAATGTTTTCACGTCTCCTTACAAGTTAATACCAACTTTTAATTGAATCGCTTCAGTCAAATCTCAGCGTCCCTCATAAAACCCTTGGCTCCTCATTTCTAGCACTCCTGTGATGGTTAATAACCTACATGCAAAGGTTACGGCTTTTCTTTCAAAGTTATGTGAGGAGTTTAAAAACAATACACACATGCATACAAAGGTACAGTTGGAAATTACTAAACAGATGAGCATACCACTTCACATTGATCGACTTACTAATCCATTTATATTAACAGATGAGCATACCACTTCACATTGATCGACTTACTAATCCATTTATATTAACAGATGAGCATACCACTTCACATTGATCGACTTACTAACCCATTTATTTGTTTTGTTTCTGCGAACCTACAACAAAGGCTATTTGTTGTTTGCCGTCCCTTATTTTGAACTGATAGACTAGAGTAAGGCAGCTATTTAACAATTCTCACCGCTAACTTTCGGGCTATTCTTGTCTGTTTGAACAGACCAGAGGAACGCGCTTTTTGTGGCAAAGGTTTGCGAACCACGAATCTTAGGATTAGTTCAGTCACGTTAACAACCAAGTCACGCTCAGCCCACTTAACAATCTACAAATTATGCGTATCACTGTATTGAAGTTGGCGAAAATCCAAAATACCTTAATATGTGATTATATATTATTTATATAACCAAGTAGTTATACAGTTTATACGTATCATTAGTTCAGTAATCATCATTAGTTTAAAGTATTTCCCCCCAAACTTACCGTTCTGTGTAATACCACCATTCTCTTGCAGCGACAGATGCTCTGCTAATTCTGATAAACCACCTTCGCTGTTAGGCCTAGACGTTCGTGCAGCTTTAGACAATCGACGACGAATTGTTTTCATGTTTATAAGGCATCACTGTGGTAAAACCCGCTTTAATGGCATTGCCACACACTTCCAACAGGTGCTACAAGGAAACTATAGTAACAAAACAACTTCGACGTTAGAATCCAGACGAAAATTTAAATAAAGGCACTTCGTTGGACGAGTAGAAGATATCATCGCACGGACTGTTCACCTGCTTAAAAAAGAAAAACAAAAAGAAGAAAAGTTGCCAATTTCGAGGTGGTTAATAATTTTTTTATGCAACTTACATAAATGCTTAAGTACTATTTAGTCATTTTTAAGCACATGGATGTTATATAACTGTGTACATCATTTAAATTCTTGATAAAAAAAAGGCGAAAATGGGCACAATCTGTTTTACAAGGATAACAGAATTTTACTGATATTTTTATATCTTTGTTGAATTTCTCACAAAGCCACGCCACTAGAGGGCTATCTGTGCTAGCCGTCCTTCAAGTTGAACAAATAGACAATACCATACAGCGTCAACTCGTGATTGCTGAATGCCTCTTTTGTTGTTGTTGTTATTCAGCAGTAATGAGGCGCGAACCATGGAACTTAGGATCCACAGTCTGGCACGCTAAACACTGAAACGCGTATGGCCTAAACTCTGCAAGAATTTCAATAACAAAAAGCTTAGGTGGCGACATTTCAAGTGTTTCCCGATTGGTTCTGCTAAACAATTACAATAATCCATGTTGAATTATTGGGTTTTACACTTAAACTAGAGATTATTACAAATGGAATACAAATGGTTCGTGCATTTAATGATTGCATATTTTTCTTAATAAAAAAAGAGAGATAAATTAATCGCGTGTACTTGCTAAATGAATTATCTTAGTGATATACTTAATGAAATCAAAGGACTGAACATAAAACATTTCGCCCCATTTTCTTAGATAAATTAGCTGTATTTGCTCTGCCCACCACTGGTATCGAAACAGGATTTTTAGCGTTATAAGCTCTCAGATTTACTGTTCAGCCAGTTGGGGCCTTATATAAATATATCTGTATTAACCTTCAAATTGCCGACTTGTTTTATATCATTCACTACCGGTTGGTAGTGAATAATTCATTATCAGACTGAATCATTTTATGTCTGTTAAAATTCTCAGTGTAAAGAACTGACCGAATATTTAGGTAATACCACTTTTTATGTAAACTACATAGAGGGCGCTTGCAGTCCGTAGCGAGATTAAATGGAGCATCGATTCAATGTTTTGTGTGACTTGTTTGTTTTGAATTTCACACAAAGCTATACAAGGCTAGCCATTCCTAATGGTTTAACAGTGATATACTACCCACCATCAACGCTTTGGTTACTCTTAGTGGGATTGACCGTAACTTTATAACGTTTAGCTGAAATGGCGATTGACGGGGATTCGAACTAGTGATCCTCAGATTGGGAGTCGATCGCCTTAACCACTAGGCTATACCAGATCGTTTCGATTATATATATATATTTTCAATTTATTTCATAGAAATTAGATTTTTTTTAAAAACATTCGAATGCCCCGTCGGTAATTTTAGGGTTAAGAAAATCAATAAACATGTTATCCGCTGCTGAATATTTCTCCCTGAAACTATATGATATTCTGATATGTACTACAATTAACATCAAGAGCTTACCCTAGATAAATACCAATCAGGTAAGGCCTTTATAACTATTAACATTTTAACCGTTTTGTACAAAGCCTTAATATTTGTACATCGATACCTCTAACTACAGCCCGAAATGAAAAAAATGATAATTAAAGAATGGAACTAGTAATGAATATGAAAACTTATTTGAATCCACATGAGTACGTGTTCCTGTATTTAATACTGTTTCATGACATAAATATATCATTATTTAAAAGTTTAGCAATCGGTCATGATAATTACAGAGGACTTACCATCTGTAAAGGTGAACAGTAAAAGTTGGGTACAAGATATACCCATATACCATACACGTCAGTTAGATCCCTTCATAATACCAGGGTTGTAAACTCCAAATTCCGTTATATCCAGATTTGCTGTTCCTCAAACATTTAATAACACTTAACACTATATATATCCAACTTTTAATGATACTACGTTTGTATGTGGTGGCCAGAGCGCTGTTGATACTGATAGCAAAGTAATTTTTCATACATGATACATGTTAAACCTTGATTTTGGTTCCTGGTTTTGAAACACGATCATATCAGGGAGTAGAAGGTAAGACATTTGGTTTGTGTGTGTGGTCCTCAGTACTCGACACAAAGTTTTTGAAGTAGAAAAATACGTCAGTTTTATGTTCGGAAATACTTCTAATTGTGGTGAAACACAATGCTGGTACCCTCACATCCAAAACTGACTGAGGAACAAAACCATAAACAGAACCCTGGGTTAAAATAAAAACACGCCCGCATCAAATTGGAAAACATTTCAAAGCTCAATATTACACAAGTTGTTACTAGCAGATCGAAAATACATCGTGGAATAAATCGTTAACAGAAAAGAAAAAAAAAGTAACCTTCAACTTTGGGCAAGGAACAACGTTACAACAAACGAGATTATGCGTGAAACACTTTGAAAATAAAACCGCATAAGTATTTGATTAATGAGGTTTACCTGTCAATACCAAGCACGTGCACGGGAATTTTTCCATGATTCTCACAACTATACAATCTCCAAGAATCAAACGTACCTTGGCAGATGAATGTTCTTGTGAAGAAAAAAATTCCGACATACATAAATACTTATTGAAATGCACAGATGATACGCACACAGGAGTCACAAATAATGAGTAATTGTAACTAAATGGTTGTTACATTATTAGTACAATACATCATTACAGCAAACATAAAAGAAAAGCTAATTGCACGATGCAATATTATTTTCATTAACTTAAAACAGAGCTGTGCATCATGTTTTTATGTTACTATAAATTGATCAATGTGTACGATTGATAGAAATATCCATATTACTCCCCACAAATATTGTTTGTTTTTGAATTTCGCGCTAAGCTACACGAGGGCTATCTGCGCAAGCCGTCCCTAATTTAGCAGTGTAAGACTAGAGGGAAGGCAGCTAGTCATCACCACCCACCGCCAACTCTTGGGCTACTCTTTTACCAACGAATAGTGGGATTGACCGGCACATTATAACGCTCCCACGGCTGAAAGGACGAGCATGTTTGGTGTGACAGGGATTCGAACCCGCGACCCTCAGATTGCGAGTCGAGTGCCTTAACCACCTGGCCATGCCGGGCCTCGCCACAAATATGCCGCATTACCTTCTCAGTTCCCCATAATCCCATAAATTGTAATAATAATAATACCAAATAATGTTAATAACAATAATATTGGAACTATGTACAGACCAAGATGTAGGGAGTGCTCCTGTAACCTCTTTTTTTTTCTTTCTCCAGGTATAATTTCGCATACACTTACTTGTTGCATGCTTAGGAAGATGAATCCCTTCCCAACAGGAATTGTTCCTGAGGGAATGACATGATGATTAAGAAATCTAATTGTATCAGTCAGCAGTCAAGGTGCCATCAATTTTGTTTAGATCTCCATCACCATTGGCCTAGATGCAGCCCACATTTGTATTGGTCCTCCAGCATGCTTCATTGTAGATGTTGTACACTAACCATAATACCATTCTCCTTTCTGCTACTGAACAAACGATCATTGACTGTTGCCAAACAATTTGAATGTAGATACATCTATAGACAGTACACCCCACTGGCTTTGTCCATCCCAATGTTTAAAGTCTGATGACCATATCGGTCTTTTATTTTGGATATCTCTCCTGAGCATTTAAACATCCAGTGATGCCACTTCGACCTAATGGGTATCTTACTGTTATAAAGGTAACACTCATACCTAGCTGTATGTCGTGTAAAAAGCATACTCTGAGTTAATTAAGATAACTTAGATGAGTTTGGGATATCAATTTAGAACACTTCTATAATCAACAGTATTAGTTTCCTGTACCCTCTTCAGAGTTTCCATACAGCTCCTACTGAAACTAGAAATTTTGCCTCAATCTGTTGTAAGGAGTAGCCTTCACCAGCAGAAACTTTGATTTCTGCACATCTGTCACGTGGCATTTTTGTCATTGGGGCCATCAGTGCATTAACCATACTACTACTGGAAATAGTACGACTGTCTGTACGTTTATATGCTTTATGCTAGTACAACACTGTCTGATTGACAGTCAACCATAAACTATCAATACATGACTGTACTGTGGTGCAGTTCATTTGTATACAACAGATGTTGAAAAATCCCATAATACACTATTTATTTTATACCCATCTTTATTCGATGTTTCCATAATAATTTCCAATACTGTAAATATTTTATTTGACTTAATTCTAGTTTATATACCATAGTACTTGATACCATCATGGATTATTAATAAAATTATTTTAACAGCACAGATGGCCCATTGTATAGTTTTGCACTTAATAACAAACAAATCCTAGAAGTTTGTTATTTGGGGTGATCTCACAATGCTTGATTAAGGATGGCCTTGAAATGTTTGATATAGTACATATCCTTTGATTGGTTTAGCCAGGGAGAGTGGTAGTACACTGATCTTTAAGCCACTGTTTTGCGACTTCGGCAAGAGCTCCATCTTGTAGGAAATCACTGCTTTATCTGGTAATCTGTTCATTGGAATAGACAAGTAAAAGACACTGTTCAATAATAGAGATGTATTAAGCAGAACTTTGCATACCTGCTGGTGTGATCATCCAACTCCTTGAATGATACCAACATTATAGTTGAAATACTGCTGTATTTTGTTGTAGCTTGCAGACAGTTCAACAAAATTCTGGGGAGAATAGTCATTGAACCCAGGTGCATACACTATTTAAAAATTGTGCACATCTACTTTTCTGAAAAAATAAATAAAAATACAGTGACGAAAACTGTTGCTGATGTACAATGTTGCCTAGAGTTAGCAGTGACTTATGTCTAGCTACTTTCCCACTGTAGCCTACACTACGAAAGTAAATTCTGATCATACTGGGGAATATCTACATCCCTGTCTTAAAACAGTAGCAGCTGTTTGATTAGGGACATTCCCTATATCTCTCCTTACAGCATGTAAGTTTGTTTTTGAATTTCGTGCAAAGCTACACGAGGGCTATTTGC